TTTATTTTTTTTTGTGGGAACATCAGCTTAAAAACCTTTTTTTTTTTTTTTTTTTTTTGTCTTTTTTTTGGTCTTTTTTTTGGTTCATAGGCTTGTTTTTCATCCGTTTCCCAGGTCTGGCAAAAGAGGCAGGACGCAGGGATTATTCCCCAAGGTTTATAGAGAAATAGCTCCAACAGGTGCACCATATATCGGGGGAGAAAAGTTGATTTCGGTGCAGATATAAACTCTGCTTTCAACCTGGGAAGAGCTTGGAGGATAGAAAGATCAGGTGAAGAGAGAGGACGGAGTAAGCGTGCTCTCGCGCCGCAAAGGCAGCGGAGAGAATCTGGAGGAATGCTTAAAAAAGGGGGTGAGGAGAAAAGCGCCCTTCCTCCTCGCTCCCCCCGGGCTGGAGCGCTGCCTGTCCTGGCCACAGCGAAGCCGAGATGCGTGGAAGTAGATTCTCAAAATCCTCTTTTTTTTGCCCTTTTCCCCCGGAGCATGGGTTACTCTGCATGGATAACATTCAAGCATGAAGGTTTTTTTGTTTTTTTTTTTTTCCTTTTTTTTTCCTCTATTTCCACTTACATTGTAATAAGAGTCTTGATATTTTTTTTTCCCCCCTCCCTCCTCCATTGCACTGTATTTTTTTACAAAGACTTTGGGTAAAGCTGCCGATGCTTTATAACCACTAAATTTATCTAGCAGTGAGGTGTACTTCTACTTTGATTTTTTTTTTTTCCCCCCCAATTAATTTTATTTTTTAACTTCCTAGTCTCTCTGTGTTATACCAAACCTGACGGCCCGGGGCTGGTGGGGTCCGAGGGTAGGCTGCGCGGCGCTTTTCTCTTATTCTCCCGGTTCTTCCCACCGCGGCCTTCGCTGCGCGCGAGGTGCCGGCCCCGGGACGCCCTTCCCAGGCCCTCGCTGTCGAGGGCCGCCCGTGCCCGAGGCAACTCGGCTCCCGCGAGAAAAGGGCTGGCTTTTCGTTGAGTCTTTAGCCCTGTTCCCAGAACACGGGATTTCCGCTCCCGATCCCAACGGCGGCTTAATTTTTAAGAGTAAGAAAGGCAAGGAACGTGTTCTGAACCCGTGTGTTTGGTGGCATCGAAATGGCTTTAACGCGTGAAAACGTAAAGCGTTTAAGCCACCCTCGGGCCGCCGCTAGCCAGCTCTGCCACCGGCCCCCTCCCTCCCTCAAAGCGAGCCGTTCGATGGCCGTCTCGACCGATGCCGCCCGTTAAGTCGGGCTCTGCCAGGGTCGCCAAAATGCTTTCCACGCTTAGCAAACGAGGCGCGGGCTCACTGTCCGCCCGCTCCTCTCTGAGGTGGCTCACGAAAGCCGTTGAAAGCCCCCTTCCCCGTGCTCGAGCTCAATGCCTTCTTCTTTCTTCCCCCCTCCGACCCGCCATCCCCCAGCTGCACGTCCAAGAGTCCTCCGGCAACCATCTGAGCACCGAGCAGAGCCAGCCCACGACCAGTGTGGACCTTGACTTTTTAGAAGATGACATCCTGGGGTCACCGTCCAGCGGCGGGGCCAACCTGCAGAACTCGGACCAGCCCTGCGACATCCTCCAGCAGAGCCTGCAAGAGGCGAACATCACCGAGCAGACGCTGGAGGCGGAGGCCGAGCTGGACCTGGGCTCCTTCCAGCTTCCCACCCTGCAGCCGGTGGTGCAGACAGCCTCCGACGGCACCCCGCAGATCTTCTCCAGCGGAGCCGACCTGATCGGGCTGCAGCAACCCGCCGTCCTGACGCACCAAGCCCTGGTGCAGCAGTCGGTAGGAGCGGATGTTGTCAACAAGGCCATCAGCGTTCAGCCTTTCCTCCAGCAGGTCGGCTTGGGGAACGTCACCATCCAGCCCATCTCCAACCTCCAGGGTTTGCCCAACGGCAGCCCCAGCGGGACGCTGGGGATCGGGCCGATTCAGGTGGTCGGGCAGCAAGTGATGGCCATCAACCAGCCGGCTCAGCAGATCATCGCCAAGCAGGTTCAGCCCTCCCAAGTGGCCACCATGCCCGTTGGCAGCTACATCACCCAGACGGCGCCCGAGCAGCAGCAGGTCACCCTGGCCTCGACGGGGGTCTCTCCGCAAAGCGCCGGCCTCGTCATCCAGAAGAACCTGCCGACGGTGGCCACCACGACGTTGAACGGGAACTCCATGTTCGGGAGCGTCTCCGGGACTCAAGGCTCCCAGCCGCTCACCGTCACCTCCAACCTGAGCAGCCCCTTGGTGCAGGCCCAAAACGTCATCATTCACAGGACGCCCACCCCGATTCAGCCCAAACCCGCGGGCGTCCTCCAGCAGAAACTCTACCAGATCACCCCCAAGCCCTTCGGTTCCAACAACGCCACCCTGACCATCCAGAACGAAGCCGCCCTGCAGCAGCAGAAGGCCCAGCAGAACCTGACCTTCATGGCCAGCAAACCCGGGCAGAACGTGGTGCTGTCGGGCTTCCCCCAAGGGCTTCCAGCCAACGTCTTCAAGCAGCCGCCGTCGCCGCAGCCATCCCTCAGACAGCCCATGGGCGCTCAAACCGCTCAGCAAGCCCTGGAGCGCCCACCTCCTGAACCAGGGCAGCAGCATCGTCATCCCGGCCCAGCACGTCCCGCAGGCCATGCTGCAGGGCCAGAACCAGTTCCTCCTCCCCGGGCAGCTGGCGGGCGCCTCCGCCGTGCAGATACCCCAGCAGCTCTCGGCCCTGCAGGCCAACATGGGAGGGCAGATCCTGACCACCTCCCACCCCGGCGGGCAAGCCCATATCATAACTAGCCAAGGGCCGGGCGGACAGCTGATAACCAACCAAGCCTTGCCGGCCCAGATCCTCACCAACCAGAACATCGCCAGCCAGCTGAACCTGGGCCAGGTGCTCACCTCGCAGAACGCCCACGGCACCGCTCACATCCTCTCGGCTCCCATCCAGCTCCAGCCCGGCCAGGTGGGTCAGCCGGCTCTCTTCCAGATGCCCGTTTCGCTGGCGGGCAGCTTGACCACGCAGAGCCAGCCCTCCGTGGCCGCCTCGCTGGGCCAGACGGGGCAGACGGTGATCCAGGGGGTGACGCTGCCCAACCAGGTGGCCATGCTCAACGCCACCGAGAACCTCGGCCAGGCGGTGAGCATCCAAGCCTCCGCCACCACCAGCAGCCAAAGCCCCGGCCTCGTCCAGCCGCAGCCCGCCTCGGGTGCCAGCCTGCTGCCCAGCGCCGACCAGTCCTCCATCCTCACCGTCCAAACCGCCTCCCAGCCGCCCGCTCCGCTCCAGCTCAACGTGCCGCCGCCGCCACCTCCGCCGCCCGCCCAGCAGCCCGTGACTTCCCAGCCCAGCCCCAGCTTGGCCTCCAGCCCGGAGAAGATCATCCTGGGGCAGGCAGCCGCCGGAGCCGTCATCAACCAGGATTCCATGCAGATGTTCCTACAGCAGGCAAGTAGAGCCCCTCTGGGCGGCGGCCGCGGCGTTTGCGGCCCGTTGGGTGTTAGGAGACCGCCAGCGAGCGCGGCGGACTCCGGAGAGCCCCGCGTTCGGGCTCGCTTTACGCACCGTACGTGCTAGAAGTGCTCCCGCGTAGTCTTAATTCTTTACACGTTGTCTTCCCGCCGTAGGGCAATTCCCTTCCTCAGTAGGTGTTTTAAAGCTGCCGGGAGCAGCGAGTGGGGCTCAGGGCCGCTCTGCGTGTAGTCGAGTGCCTTTGGAAGGAGGAGCTGGTGACGGCTCCGTCCAGGCCACCAAAGCCGCCGCCGCGATGCAGAGGGGTCGGCGCGGACCCGGCGTCCGCCTCCATCCCGTGCCGTGTCTGCGGGTTGAGCTCAGCCTGCGGCGGCGGCCCTGCCTTCCCACTCGGGGTTTTCTGCCTTCGTTAGCTTGAGTCAGACCTTTAAAAATAACGGGGCGGGGCGAGAAGCGGCGGCGGCGGCAGCCGGGTGGGCAGCAACACGCGGCGTCTCCTCGCAAGAGTCCCCGCTGCGGACGCCTTGGGCACTACCCACCCCTGTGTCGGCGCGAGGAGGGCGAGGGCGGTCCGGCGAGGGCTGCGGGCATCTCGTCTGCCCTTACCTCCGTTGGTAAAGGGTTTGGTGACGGTTTAGGCGCCGGATTTGAACCATCAGGGGTTTTCTTTATGAATTTGTATTGATAAAGGTGGGTGCTGGTCCATAACCTACCAAAGTCCCTGAATTATCAGAGAAAGAAATGAGAAGAGAGCAAACACACTCTATTATTTTATTAATTATTATTATTATTATTATTATTATTATTGCAATAGCTGTAAGCTTTAAAATTCTCATTTGAACTTTGTTTTGGCATAACTGGTCGCACAGATACGTCTTTCTAGGTATTTGGGCTTGATGCTGACAGTCACCTCCCGGTATTTTAGCGTAATTAAAACCAGGCGTTTGCCTGTGACCAAGGGGTTACAGTTCGAGCCGTCGCCGGGGGTTTAAGAAGCTCGTGACCCCCGTGATTCCAGGATTCGGAAGCAGAGAAAACCCTTCCCGGCATCGGGAGAAGCCGGCACGCAGGGTTCGGCACGCGCGGTGCGCCCCGGCTCCTCCGGTTTTTGTCTCTGTTTGCCATTTGATGCAGGTTGCGGTGCCAGGTAGCGCATTACTGCTTGGCCATACCGGCGCAGGGGTTCTCCCGCCTTTCACCGTAGGCTTTTTCCCGGGATGTACCTAAATCTGCGGTTGCATTATCGGACGGGTCCCGGTGCCTTCCCCTGCAAAGTCCCGCTCCCACCTCCAGAGAGAGCTGTTCCCCTCGCCGGCCTCTCCTGCCAGCCGGGAGCCCTGGGAGACGCCGTGCCCGGGGCGAGAGCAGCCATGGCTTTCTCTTTGGCAGCCGCCTTGCGGCGTCGCCGATGAAGTAGGCATGGCGGTGCCGGGAAGAGTGCGGGGAAGGATGTGGCGAGAGGCAGACGAAGGAGGACCCGTAAACGTGGTCAGTTAAAGGACGGGAGCCGGCGGCACGGCAGGGGGGGGGC